TGACAATAAATTAATAGAAATTCCGATTTATTTTATTACTCCATTATATTTAAATAATATTTAATTTTTTTTATTTCGTAAGAAATGAGTGACAACGAAGCAGCCAAGAGTCCAGACGATGAATATAAAAGAAACTAAACAGAATTAAATCAAAAATATGCTATTACAAAAAGAAGCCACAATGCGGTGGGGTTGATGCCCATAAAACTAATGGAACTGAAAACGATAAAGAAATAATCGAAAAATTAGAAACTTACCGTTCAATCCTTAAACTGAGTGAAGCAAAAATAAAAGAATTTAATAGAATAAATAAATTGATTGGAAGAGATGAATTTAATAAAGATGAATTTTTAAACTCAATCCAAATTTAATTTTTATTCCTCTTTGACAACATCTCTCTTTCCATCATTACTGCATAACCACATTTTCTCAATTTTAGTGGTTTGTTATTTTTAACATGTTCTTGCATCATTTTTATCATTTCCTCCCTTGTTATGATTCGTGGTAAATTTTGAGCTTGTGGGGTATCCATTTATGATAAAAATAAAAATTTAAATTATGCCGTTCTAAAGTTTGTGACAACATGACATTTTGACAACAACACAGGAGGAAGGTAGTTATGAATTATTTTTGAAGAACTGAAGGTGCTACCATGTTACCATGTGCTACCAGGTCATTTAACTTCTCTGAAAAAGTGTGACAACATGACATTTTGACAACAACACAGGAAATGATTTGTCATGACTTCATCGGAATGAGTGTAAATGACCCAAAAAAAAGTTAGTTTTAAAATTATTTTTATTTTTTTATTTTGTATGTAAGAACAGAAATGTCAGTCGAAGCAAAAACATTCACTAACAAATCTAATGGCGAAACATTCACAAAAGGCACTTATAACGGTATTGAAGTCTTACGTAGAGACAAGGATGGTTACATTAATGCAACAAAGATGGCAAGAGAAGCAGGAAAGTTAAACCATTTAAACAGATTTCTCAATAGTGCTAAAATACAGGAAATTCTTGAGTTTTGGATGAACGAATACGGTGGAGCCAAAAGTGGCTCGACCTCAAAACAAGCATTTTATGAGCTTACTAAGGGTGTTATAAATGAATTCAAAGGTATTTACATACATCCTGACATCGTTCATTTTGTTGCTGAATGGTGCTCTGTAAAGTATGCATTTTATGTCAAAGATATTATGGACTCCATAGACAAGAAAGTTCATGAGAAATTAGATGAAGAAGAACTTGAAGATACAGTAGAGAATGCTAAACCTTTGTTTGAAGAAGAAGTTGGAAAAATGTGCGAAAAACAATTAGAACATGAACGTGAGTTATGTTATGGTTATAGATATTCTCCATACGAACTAGACCAATGGGAACAAGAAAATTTAAAGAGAGAATTTAGAGAATATGAACTCGCTAAGATAGCATTAGAAGCTGCAGAAAAGAAGTTAAAAGCTTGGGGTTGTTTTGTACAAAAATATTGTGAGTAAATGAACCATTTATTTTTATTGAATTCACCAAAAATAATTTTTAGGGTAGATGGTTAGATCTAACCTCATTTCTAACCTCATGACATTTTGACAACAACACAGGTTATTCAATAATGACTTATTTTTGAAGAACTGAAGGTGCTACCATGTTACCATGTGCTACCAGGTCATTTAACTTCTCTGAAAAAGTGTGACAACATGACATTTTGACAACAACACAGGAGGAAGGTAGTTATGAATTATTTTTGAAGAACTGAAGGTGCTACCATGTTACCATGTGCTACCAGGTCATTTAACTCATGACATTTTGACAACAACACAGGTTATTCAATAATGAATTATTTTTGAAGAACTGAAGGTGCTACCATGTTACCATGTGCTACCAGGTCATTTAACTTCTCTGAAAAAGTGTGACAACATGACATTTTGACAACAACACAGGAGGAAGGTAGTTATGAATTATTTTTGAAGAACTGAAGGTGCTACCATGTTACCATGTGCTACCAGGTCATTTAACTCATGACATTTTGACAACAACACAGGTTATTCAATAATGAATTATTTTTGAAGAACTGAAGGTGCTACCATGTTACCATGTGCTACCAGGTCATTTAACTTCTCTGAAAAAGTGTGACAACATGACATTTTGACAACAACACAGGAGGAAGGTAGTTATGAATTATTTTTGAAGAACTGAAGGTGCTACCATGTTACCATGTGCTACCAGGTCATTTAACTCATGACATTTTGACAACAACACAGGTTATTCAATAATGAATTATTTTGAAGAACTGAAGGTGCTACCATGTTACCATGTGCTACCAGGTCATTTAACTTCTCTGAAAAAGTGTGTGACAACATGACATTTTGACAACAACACAGGAGGAAGGTAGTTATGAATTATTTTTGAAGAACTGAAGGTGCTACCATGTTACCATGTGCTACCAGGTCATTTAACTCATGACATTTTGACAACAACACAGGTTATTCAATAATGAATTATTTTTGAAGAACTGAAGGTGCTACCATGTTACCATGTGCTACCAGGTCATTTAACTTCTCTGAAAAAGTGTGACAACATGACATTTTGACAACAACACAGGAGGAAGGTAGTTATGAATTATTTTTGAAGAACTGAAGGTGCTACCATGTTACCATGTGCTACCAGGTCATTTAACTCATGACATTTTGACAACAACACAGGTTATTCAATAATGAATTATTTTTGAAGAACTGAAGGTGCTACCATGTTACCATGTGCTACCAGGTCATTTAACTTCTCTGAAAAAGTGTGACAACATGACATTTTGACAACAACACAGGAGGAAGGTAGTTATGAATTATTTTTGAAGAACTGAAGGTGCTACCATGTTACCATGTGCTACCAGGTCATTTAACTTCTCTGAAAAAGTGTGACAACATGACATTTTGACAACATTTACGAAAATATGATGCAGTCCAAAAATAAAGTTAGTTTTAAAATTATTTTTATTTTTTTATTCCTATATAAATGACAGTAACAAACAACAACAGCAACTATATCGTTTCTGATGAACAAGTTATTGATTCATTAGCTGAGGAATTAGTTGTGGTAGAAACTAAAACCCTCAACGAAAGAATTGGTGAAAACAGGATTGATTTACATAACTACCTCAAATACGATGGAGGAAGAGGAAGGAAAACTGGTATAGCTTTATTAGCAAATAAAATTTCAAATTTAACGATTATAGATGTTGATATCAATAAATCGTACAATGATGAACTTAAAGAAACAGTTAGAAAAGACATTTTATCAAAACTTTCGGATAAAGATGTTATCGTTAAAACCGCATCAGGAGGTCTTCACATTTATTGCAACACTAATTTCTTCTATTCAGTTTCGAACAGAATGATTAAATGTTATTCCTGCAATGATTATGATATTGACATAATGACTTCTATGGATGATTCAAAGCGTTCATTAGTGGTTATGGCTGATTCAAGAGTTCGCAAGAATGCAACAGAACCAATCAAAACATACTCATTCATTCGTGGAAGTTATGATTCAACATTAACTAGAACAGTAAACGATATATTAAATGATTTGAATATTAAGGTAAGAGTTGAACAGAAGAATGAAGAAATAAAGAGTATAATGAATGAAAACAAAGATGTAAACATTGACGATAAACTAGCTCAAAGCATAGTTGATGGCATCTGTGATTTTGAAGTACATAATGATGGTGGAAACATGAATTTAGAAAAAGAAATAACATTGTTCACACTGTTTCAAGCAATTAATTCGTTACCGGATCATTTAATTAATGAAGCCTACGATAACGTTTATAACTTCTGCAATTTAACTGAAAATGCAAAAAGTAATTTTGAAAAAGCACGTAGTAGATATGCACATTTAATGACTTCTCCATTTGTTTTAGTGAAGATTCTAAAACTATACCAAAAGGAATATTATGATGAATACGTTTTACCTTTATTACGTAAGCCAAAAATAACATTTGATATAAAACTTGATGATTCATTCTTGATAACAGATATTAGACGCAGGGCTGAAAATCATCAGTATAAAAACAGTTCTGAAGTAATTGAGGATTTATCACGTGTAATCCGTTTTGTAGATTGTGGAAACAAATACTTCATTCAGAAAGATTACAACATACACGACAAAATGAATCAAATATCATTCGTTCTTCAATCAAACATGAAAGAGTCACTCAAAATGATTAAATTATTTAAAGAAGAAGGTAAAACCATAACAGCATGGGATGTACTACTAAATCAATTATCCTCATTAACCGTTAAGGGTGTTTGCTTTAAATCTGATTCCCCAGATGTTTTCTCAACGTTTCAGGGTTATAAATACAACATTCTTGAAAAGCCTGATTACTCAAAAATTGAGATGTTTATGAATTTCATTAAAGAAGCCATTTGTGATAATAACGATGAAGTGTATAAATACCTTCTCGGCTGGATTGCATCAATGATTCAACATCCTGGAATCAAGAATGAAACAGCAATTATTTTGAAAGGACTTCAGGGAACAGGTAAAAACAGATTTACAGACATTATTTCTGAACTCCTCGCTGGTTATTCATGTAAAAACATTACTGAAATAAGTGAGCTAACGGGTAATTTCAACTCAGTAGTTGAAAATAAAATGTTTCTTGTACTTAATGAACTCAAGAATGTAGGTGAAGATAGACTCGCAAACTTCAACGCTTTGAAATCAATTATTACGGATAATGAGATAAGAATTAATGAAAAGAATCAACCCAGAAGAACTGCTCAGAACGTTGCAAACTTCATTTTCGTAACTAATAACGTCTACCCTGTCAAAATTGAAGTTGGAGACAGAAGATACGTAGTTTTAAGAGTTAATGGTAAATTCAAGGGTCAATTTGATTACTTCAAGAATTTAATGGATTCATGCACTAAGGAATTTTATGATAATTTACTGACGTATTTTATGCAATATGACCTTTCATCATTTAATGTACGAATCATACCGATGACTGAAGCCAAACAAGATTTAATCGAGTTATCAACAAATCCTTTAGATGTATGGATAAATACACATTATGATGAATTGTGTGCAGGGATGACGTGTGAAAATGCTCTATTCTGCAAACCATCAGACATGAAAGACAAAAACTTTCAAATGAGTATTAAGGATAAATGTGATAGGAAACATAGAAGAATAGACGGTAAACAAACATGGTGTTATGTTTTGAAAGAAGAAATGAAAGGATTATATAAACAGGTTGAACCAAACGATAATGAGGATTCATTTACTGACGATGAAATACCTGTAAATGAAGCTTTATAAAGTATGATTTGAATTTATTTTTGCATTAATCCTCCTGTGTTGTTGTCAAAATGTCATGTTGTCACACTTTTTCAGAGAAGTTAAATGACCTGGTAGCACATGGTAACATGGTAGCACCTTCAGTTCTTCAAAAATAAGTCATAACTGCCTTCCTCCTGTGTTGTTGTCAAAATGTCATGAGTTAAATGACCTGGTAACATGGTAGCACCTTCAGTTCTTCAAAAATAAGTCATTATTGAATAACCTGTGTTGTTGTCAAAATGTCATGTTGTCACACTTTTTCAGAGAAGTTAAATGACCTGGTAGCACATGGTAACATGGTAGCACCTTCAGTTCTTCAAAAATAAGTCATAACTGCCTTCCTCCTGTGTTGTTGTCAAAATGTCATGAGTTAAATGACCTGGTAACATGGTAGCACCTTCAGTTCTTCAAAAATAAGTCATTATTGAATAACCTGTGTTGTTGTCAAAATGTCATGTTGTCACACTTTTTCAGAGAAGTTAAATGACCTGGTAGCACATGGTAACATGGTAGCACCTTCAGTTCTTCAAAAATAATTCATAACTACCTTCCTCCTGTGTTGTTGTCAAAATGTCATGTTGTCACACTTTTTCAGAGAAGTTAAATGACCTGGTAGCACATGGTAACATGGTAGCACCTTCAGTTCTTCAAAAATAATTCATTATTGAATAACCTGTGTTGTTGTCAAAATGTCATGAGTTAAATGACCTGGTAGCACATGGTAACATGGTAGCACCTTCAGTTCTTCAAAAATAAGTCATTATTGAATAACCTGTAAACATTAACGTAAACATTTATTTCTGCAGTTCATTCATTACTTCATTACCTAATTAATTACAAACATAAAATATATTTAGTTCATTCAATGAACGCGGTAAGCCTGCAAAGTAGGCTCAAGCACATTCAATAAATGCGGTACCATGCGAATACAGTCATAAATGGTGGCATATAATCTTTACCCAAGCCTGTTGGATTTGTTGTGAAAGTATGTGAATGATTTCCTCCTGGTTCAGTTGGTCGAAAAGTCTTTTTTGCTGAATGGTTATAATCTGGAGATAAAACGTCATTGCCAGCATAATATTCTGAGTTGTATAATGGATGGTCTCTTAATGAGTGACTATGGTCACCAGAAAAGTTTGTAGTTCCTGTATGAGTGTGCGGTGGAAGGTTTGCTTCTTTAATTTTCTTCGAACCTCCTGTTTGCTTTGAAGAGTTCGCACAATAGAGGAATTTATCTACAATCTGTTCCACATACCGAAACCTAAAACTTCTGAAGGATTTGTTGAGTTCATTGACGTATAAATAGAACCAATGGGGTAAATCATCTCAAGAATTGTATTTAATCCATTATGAATATTGAATTTATTATATAATATTGAATTTGGGTGAGTATTTAAAACTGGTCTTGTTATCAATATTAACGTATTATTTTTGAAAATTGCTTTTCTAACATCTTGAAATTTTGTGATTTCAGACCAGTTTCTTCCATCACTACTGATATTTACTAAATCACCACATCCTAAAGCAATGAAATACCCATCAATATAAAATAAATTTGTAAATCTATAATTTTGAGTAAGTTTTGGAGTGAATGAATAAACCAATTCCCAATTTGATAAATCCTGTGATAAATAAATATGTCTGTTATAACTTACAGGATATGAATAGACCATTTCACCTGAAACGAGAACATAAACATTTGATCCATAACATAAAGCTTCAATGTCTCCATCAGCTTGAAAAATTTGTTCAAATTGACCTTGTGATATTGAAGATGATCTATAAATTTTATCATTTTGTAGGATAAAATACATGTTGTTAATGTAATACCACTTACTTGTATAATCAATTTTCAAATCTGATGACATCATACTAAACATATAATAATTTATCCCATCCTCACTAATGAAAATTTGATTGACTTCATAAATTAGTACCCATTTATTATTAACACATCTAATAGGATTATTTGGATATTTAAATTTAGCATCTTGATTTAAATTACATTTGAACCATTGGATACAATCGAATGAATAACAAGGGCAAAAATCATCTTCAACCGTTATCATTCCCATAAATTTACCGTTATTATATTCAACATATAAAATTCTTGGATTAATGATTGGCTTTCGTGTATCAGGATTCAAAACAGATGGAGTAAATGATTCATAGTTTTGAAAATCATTTGTTTTAAAATAATAAAGCACTCCAGCTGTATAAAATAAATACATGGTCACTCCATCGAAACATATCCATTCAAAGGAATCTATATCAAAGGTTTTATCTGATGATTTCATAAAATTTAAAAATGGCGGAGTAAAATAGACCTCTGATTGTTTTATTTCTTCATTAACATAATTTTATCTGCTTTCTTCTCTAACACACATATTCCTTATCTGCTTTCTTCTCTAACTCATCGTTAACATAAGTTTTATCCGCTTTAAGGTCTAAACATCCTGAAACCCATCCTGTATCGGCTTTAGTTTTTAAAATCTTTGATGTCCATTCATGATACCATTCAACCCTTTCTTTAATTTCATTATCTTTTTCGTTAACATATTCCTTATTGCTTTCTTCTTAACACAGCAGCAACACATATTCCTTATCTGCTTTCTTCATTATGTCATTTAGGAAACCTTTTATGAATTCCTCATTTAAATTAAATCTTCCAATCTTCAAAACTTTAGGAAATGCATTTAATGCGTAATATCTTGTTCTTCTGGTGGAATTGATGTTATATCATCCGTTATACCTTTAATTTTTGAATTCATAAATAAAATTTCTTTTATATTTGATATCACTGCACCACCTTTGCAAACGAATTCGAAATGGTCATTTTTCAATACTATCTCCAAATCTCCATATTTCAACCTTTGCGTTTGTTCTGCCGTCTTTGAATTATATGCATATATGGCGTATGTAATGGTCTGAGGGACCTGGGTGCTTTGTGCCTTAAGTTGCTGTGGTTGCTGTTGTTTAATCATTTATTATGATTTAAAAATAAATATTTAATCTGTTATCTCATCAGCTATTTTTTCTATTTGAAATTGCCATAATATTTCATTCATGAATTCTAAATCACAATCAAATAGGTCAGTTATTCTAAATTTAATATTTGATAAATCTTTTGAATGAAGAATAAATGAATTCCCGGATAATTGAAACGGATATGATAAAGAAAATGTGTTTAAGTTGATGGATAAAATGTTTTGTATTGATGGGTAAGAGTTAGGGTCTAATGTTTGATGTGAAAATCTCATTGGGGTATTAACTTTATCACATTTGATTAAAATGAAATTGGAACCAGTGTCAGAATACAAAACATCCCCAACATCTTTTTCAAAATTTAATATCCCCAACAATGAACGAAGATGAGGAGTACAAAATTTAATTTTCAGCGGAAATTTAATAAGGTTATTTATTTCATCAAGTCAAAAAGTTTATCAGGTTTTGATTTAAAATTTTCTTCATACCATACGATAAATGATTCATTTAAATAACTTAAAATCATGTTAATATCCCATTTCGTTATCACATTATTTATATACATATCATACGTTTTTTCATGGTCATCTTTAATAAATGATATATAATCTGAAGGGTCTAAAAGAATGGGATTAAATTTACCACTCACAGAAACGAGAGTAACATTATAAATTCCGCTAACTGTTAAATTTAATTCACAGTTATTATTCGAAATAATATTGATAATTGACATTTTTATTACGATTAAAAATATGGTAAAGCGTTATTTTCCAGTGATAAATAAAACTAGAATAAGATTACCTCAAGAATTCATAAATTCAACGAATAAGAAATTCATTCATGTTATAAATTTTAGTGTTTTCAGAAAATATGAGTCAATGTCATATTCATCATCGGGTTATATTTCACTTCATTCAAATTTAGTTCAATCAAACCCATATAATGACCATTTCATAAGATTTTCAGATGGTATTAAAAATGTAATTGATAGATTAAAATATGAACAGATTGACAATATCGAATTTTTGGAATTTTGGTTTAAATATCCCGATGGAAAAAAGATTGAAGTTAAAGATAAAGCTGATACTATAACAAAAACAATTACAATGACCGATCCGATAGTGGGGAACAAAAAGAAATAAAACAAACGATAGAAACGGTGAAAGGTCAATTATTATTGATTATGATTCAAAGGATTATTATTCGATAATGTTAATGCTTGAATATTAAATAGCCTTAACAAAGAATTTTTCAAGTGATATTTTATATTCATCAACTATTTTATTATAAATATCATTATATGTTAAATGAAGTTCAGTTGTTGTTCCGTTCTTTGATATCTTAATTGTGCTAATATCCTTTATAGGATTTATTTTTGCAACTGTTCCGCAGCATGAAACCTCATCATCTATGAAAAATTGAATCTTAACGTCTGAATCTTGAACATCACAAAGAATGGCGATAATGTGAATTAATGATTCATAAAGGTAAAATAATTAAACCGGATTGGTCAATTAAATTTATTATTGAATCATAATTATTAATTATTATATCACGGTAAATTTTCATTAATTCAGAATTAATGTCTATTTTATATGGTGCATTGCGACTGGAATCGTAGATTCCTGGGTTCTCGATGTTTGATGAAAGAGGTGGGGGTAGTTGGATAAGTGGGAATTTCAACAGGTTCTTTACCGGGTTCAGATAAAATGATTGGGTCTCCATTCTCATGGTTTTCTTCATTCTCCTCATTCTTCGGTAAGTCACGAGTTAATAAATTGGACTGTGTTGCTGACCTTGTTAATTCAGGACTAACATTAACTTTAACATTTTGAATAATTCGTGATTTATCATCATTTACGTTATAACCAACCGTAATCTCTGCTTTTGCGTTAGTGTTCTTTTGACTAGTGAAACGTCTTCTCATTTATAATCGAATAAAAAAAAGAAAAATATATTTAAAGTTTTATTTAGTTGTTACGGTAATATTCCAAGGTTCATCCTTGTTTGCTTATACTTTCTTTGTAACTGCACCAATTATGTTATTGATAATGATTTGAGTTTCTTCCAGTCTTATTTTATCATTTACAATATCTTTAATCATTTCATTACATGCATTCTTAAAACCATCTGATTTTTCTAATTTACGTTTATCACTTTCTTTAATTAAATCAAAGTTATAACCTTGTTGAGAATAAAGTGGTTTCTTTATCAATTCCTTGAACGCTTCTGAAAGTGAAGATGAAGAAATTCTTGCCACTTGAATTGGTTTAAATTCTGCTTTCATTGCTTCTTTCTGTTCATTGAACACTGGATCGAATAAAGCAACTTTAAAGAATTTCTTAGCTGGAATTTCAGGTCTAATATTTGCATATTGACCATCAAACTGGTTAGAATATCGTGGTAATCCATCCGGTCCCTCTTCAATAGCATTTAATTCTTCATTGAAATAAGAATATGGATTATGACGGTATGAATTAATTGGACCATTTTCACCTTCTCTAATGTATTGTTTAACAGCTTTTCCATTTTCATCAAATTTTATAGGATAATGTTCATTATATGCTTTACGTTTAGGATAATCCGTCATTGTTAATTTATACCCATTTATGACTTTAATATTTCCTTGACCATCAGTAACGAAAACTTCTTTTATACCATCAGGTTTTCCATTTGGACCCGTAATGTCTGTTTCGTGTGCTTCCCAATTTGGTCCATGACGTTTGGCATATGCTTGAGCTTCTGGTAATGTTAAAACGTTTCTCATTTGTTTAACATCCTTTTGAAGACCGGCAACAATGTGGACTAATTCTTTCATTCCGTCTGGAACTTTCATAGTTCTATTATATGCACCCTTTTTGTTTGTCCCTTGTTTTAATGGAACCTGTAGAAGATTTGCTATTTCTGTCATGTTTAATTATAAATAAAAAATAAAAATTAATTATAAAAAGTTAATCAAATTTAATGGAACCTTTATTTAAATCAACTATTATTTTTCCATGTTCACCTAATTGCTGATATTGTGTGTAAAGTTCATTAATGCTCATTGGTAGATTCACGTGATAAAGCATAACGTTCAACTGTTGACGACTAAAACCACTGAAAATGAAAAGGGTGGACAGGTTTGATTTAATGTTTGTGCTTAATGCTTTGAAATATTGAACAGCCATAAAGAATGAACACTGAATGTGTCGACATTGAGTTAATAACTGATTAAAATATGATTTCTCATTAGTTATTAGTTTTGATTTCACGGCATCATCTAGAAAAATGAGTGAATGCAAAAATTCTTTATCAAAATTTGAAATGGAAAGTGTTTCAAATAATTCATCCCGTTGTTTATCAATAATTTTATCCTCTAATCCTTGCTTCTTGATTGTATTATATAATTCTTTATACATTAAAAAGTTTTTTAAATAATCTTCTGCTTCTTCTTGTGATAAATAAATAATTGGAATTTTGATTAAATGCTTTAAAGATTCAAATGTATCATCTGAAGGTGAACCTGAACGGTTGATATAAATTAACACATGTGAATAGGGGGAAGTGTTAGCAATAATGATAATTTGTTTTAATATCGTTAATGTTTTACCTTTATTTTGTTTACCAATTGCTGCAGTGATTGAATTTAAGTAACATTCAGAATATGGAATTTTCATTAATTTTCCTTAGATAGAGCATTTCTATTATCACTCAATGCTTCATTAATCATATCATCTACGTATGTATTATATACTCCTGCTAATTCTTCATAAGGGGTGGATGAATTTAAATCCATTTAATCAAAAATAAATTTATAATTTTAAACATTTCTATTCATCAATATTTCATCATATGAACTTCTATACTGTGGTGGTGTACCTGTTGGATGATATTTCAAACCTTCATCCGGTGTCCATGTCCAATACGTAGTCCTAGTAAACCAAACCTGAGGAGGATTTGTCACCTTTGAACAGTAAGTGTCATTTTCACCCTGAATGATTGGATAAGCTTTCACTTGTACTGTAACTTGTGAGTTGAAAGTTTCTAATCCATCAAAGAATATACCCGCTCCATCACGTTGAACTGGAATAGTGCATAAGAATGAAGTTTGGTCTTTCCATGTTCTAGCTAATGGCGTGCCATTATCATCATTCAGTGGTCTAGTTAATGAGTCCTCGTATTCTTCCGTGCATTCATTCACTCCATCTAAATCAGAAGCTTGAAGCATACGTGTAAAGAATATGTCGCCCACTGTGGTCATCGCTTGATCGGGGAAGTTTCTGGAATCTATAGTGACCTGAAGACCTCGAAGCATTGGATTTTCTAAAACCGTTCTTTGCATTGCATTCTTCGGAAATGTTAACACAACATCTGTAACATTATGAAGAGCGTATGAGAAATCTGAGCTGATACCTTCAGGAGTGATGCAACCTCCATTTAGTGAACGAACGTCAATATGTTGAGCTGGAATCATGAATGGATCTTCCTTACTGAATAAACGGGTATTGCTTTAACTGATTCTTCAATTAAACCGTATCCTGGTGTAATGCATTTATCCTCTAAAACTTCCATCTTTGTGCATGAAATAATAACGTCATCAACTGTTGCGTCAGCAGATGTAGCGGCTAAGCTTGTAATTAATTTGGCAGGAAGTCCGATTTGTTGGAATTTGCGATCATATTTATAAACATGATTCATAATCTTTTCATAATTTTCATCAGTTATCTTTTCATAAACGTAATTTTGTAAATCAGCAACTCTTAACGGGTCAACCTGACAAAATACTAAAGTATCCCTGAAAACATAATATTTAAGAATGATATCACCAAATGATTTAGGATAATCATCGAACGCCTGAAATGCTAACAAATCATTTACCGGAATAATCATATCAAAAGTGATATCAACTTCTTCATTTGCTTTCTTGAAAACTTCTGAAGGGTCAATATATTTACCACATACTGAGTTATCATATTTTTGAACATTATTATATAACGAATGAACAAACTTTTTAACTTTCCTTTCTGATTTTGGTTTATATGTTGCAAATGCGAAAGATTCACGAGCGCAATCCATCTGAAGATAACCGGCATCACCTCTTTCGGTTTCTACTTCTAATTGTTTAAAGCTTTGATTTGATGATTTGTAACCAACGAATAAACGCATGCATTTAAAAGCGGCATCACATGTGAAAGCTTTATTTGAAACTAGAGTTGCTTTAACTTTGCGTTTAATATATGTGTCACCTAATTGGTTCACATCATGAGCCGGATTTGTAATTCTTAAATGAGTTTGTTTATCATCAAAATATGGAGCATCAGAGTCATAGCATGAACTTTCAAGTTCTCTATAATATCTTCTACCGTCATTCTTTGCGAATATTTCATTTATCTTTTCGAATGAATGAAACACATTTCCATTAATCGGTTTAGTGTTTGGCACCAAATAGTTAGTCGTCATTTATTAATAAATAAAAAATCAAAATTAAAAGATGAAAATGAATTTTTAATTTTAATGAAATAATCAACTATGGCTGCAGGTATATTTAAGAAACTGTGGGATAAAGTAAAAAGAGGAGCGCATAAAGTTTGGGAAACAATGAAGAAGGGAGCAAATTGGATATTTAAGAATAAAGAAGCAATTAGTGACATTGCTGAATCAATAACGCCAAAAGCCGCCCCAATAAGAGAAATATTAAATAAAGGAGAAAAAGTTTATCAAAGACTTCAACCGATACTAAGATAAAAATAATATTTATTTTTCCACTATCTACCTCCTATTTTATTAAGTATTCCTTCAGCTATTCCACCAATTGCGTTACCTGCTTGTGCTCCCATCGCTGGATTACCTGCTTTAGTACCTAATACTCCACCTATGATAGTTCCTGCCGTTTTCGCTACTGGTGCCAAAAAGTTTGCAACGGGTTTAATAATATTTTTATGAACCCAACCCGCAGCTTTCTTAATTCCATCCCATAATTTTTTAAAGAATCCTGCAGCCATTTCTGATTTAATATTAATTAAAAAATATATTTCATCACTTATATTCTAATTTTTATTTAATGATAAATGAAACCGATTTTAAAAATGAATGAAACAGAGGAGGAAGAAATAAATGAAAGTGAAAATGTTCAACAAAAAATAAACGTTGTTAAACCAATTACTGAAATAAAAATTTTTTCATCTGTTGAAGAATTTAATGACTATTATGCTAATAATAAAAAATTATTTGAAGAATTGACAACATGTAAATTGAATAAAATGTTTAAAGTTGATGGATTCAAAATTTCAAAAATAAAGGGGGTGGTTAGTTTGAAATCTATTCCTCAATCAAGAATCACCTCATTAATGAAAATAGATGATTTAACAAAAAGAATAGAAGAGATTGAAGAAAGAATAAATCAAATAATTGATATCATAAATTCAAATAATCATTAATTTCAATTTCTTTTTCTCGTTTATGAGGTCTTTGATTATGACTTTATTGATTTCATAAATTTAAACAATGTTTAATTAATCGTGGAATAGCTGACATCATCTATATATAGCTTCTTTTATAAAAGATAAAAAAATAAATTATTTTAAAATTAATGTTAATTTTTTAATAAATATATTTTAATACTTCGTCTATATATAGATGATACAAAAGAAGTCACACAACCCTTCCTCATATACTACTTAGAAAAAAGATCTTATAGAGATTTAAATCGTAGTAATTTCATAGTATTTCAATAATGCATTTAATTGTTTAACAATTCAGTCGGTAAATATTGATCTTTATAAGCTTTTTTTACACCGTCATTTGACAAAAATGACAATTGAAGAAGATTGTCTATTTATTAATTGTAAACTAATAATAAACAATTTTGTCAGAATTAATACAAAAATTTCAATAAAAAATCTGATAATTAAATATATAATGTTTTTTGTTTTTTCAGCCTTAAGTCTTTGTAAACTTAGAAAGCAAATCGTACCAAGACAAAGCAGGAATTGGGCCATTGTTCGAGAAGACTTACATTTAATTGAAGAAGAAAAGAATTGTCCATATGGTGGACATACAGCTGACTGGTGTCTACGTCATCGTTGCGATCCTTCTATCTTTAAATTAAAGCCCCGCAAGAACTGGGGCATTGTTCGAGAGGACTTACATTTATCTGAAGAAGAAAAGAATTGGGTTCCATATTCAGAGAGAACATGGGAACGTCCTTGTTTCCCAGCATATGGTCAAGAAGAAAGCAATTCATGGGTTCATTTCCGTGAAAAATATCTTAAGCCAACTATGTTTTCGGCTCTCGAAAAATTTGCAAAGCACAGGAAGGTCGAAAAAAATAACGACTACTTGGAAGAACTTATCAGAAGAACTAGACGAAGTTCTTGGGCTTGTACCTGAAAAGTGAACAAACTTTTTTTCACTTCGAATAAAAATATATAGAGCATTGTTTTTGAATATTTATAAGTCTTTCCCTCTTATGGATTATTTGTCACACATACATACTAGAAATTTAGAAAGTATCTTCTAATGTTCATCTTATGTATCACAAAATAGTGATTTACTTAGTTATGTCCGTGGTAGCAATACACTATTAATATATGAACAAAAAGAAACAAAAAAATTTATTCATGAAAAATAATATAAATATAACAAGAATATCTTAAAATTCATATTGTTTTTTGCAATATCTTATTATTCTTTCGTGAGATTTGTGTTTTGGCTCGATTCACTCGAGTCGAAGCAGGTCTTTTGATGATCTCTATCTCCCATCCTTCCTCTTTAAGTGTCTCTGGATCATCTACAAGCCAAAGTTCTTCTTCTCCATTGTGAGAAACTCCAATTCTCTTGTTTGGAGGTCTGGCGTTGTTTATAACGGGTTTTGCAAACGAAACAAAGCGAGGCCTGTTTTCAAGGAATGCATTAAGATGTGGTTTGGTCATTGCCGACTGAGATCTAGCACTAGATTTCTGGATAATCTTCGGAACTTGGTTTGTCACAGTTTTCGCTTTCTTTGTCATGAAAGAAGGTAAGGATTGTGCCTGTGATATCAGTTGGTTCAATTGCGAAACTGAAGGATACAAATCGTTTGCATTTATGTATTCAAAGTCTTGTGATTGAAGAATAGCAGTTAATTTCTGCACAACATCATACAAAACATGAATAACTGAAGAGTGGAAGTACAGAGCTTCAACTTTTACAAATTCAAGAATATTCACAGGAATTTCAATTGTTTGGAAAATAGTGCTTAGACAGGCATATTCTCTTGGTGATGGGAATTTATTTGCCTTGTTGTAAAACATTTTGACGCTAAGAGGAGGTCGAGTTTGGAAAAACTGTAAAAGCTTTGAAAACGATTGATTTGGAGTCTGTACACGTGACTCAGCAATAATCATGTGTTCATTTGGCCCTATCAGGTGGAATCCGGTAATTACATCTAAATTTCTTTTTGTACTCGTTGTATAAGTAAATGTTTGTATCACAGACTCGCTAGATTCATTGAGGACTAATTTATGATGCTCATTGATCAAACAATGAAGCATTTTGGCGAAATTTTCCGATTGATTATCTCTTTTTGAGACCAAAATCCATCTGTAATACTCTGTTTCGTTTGTCTCTGATTGTTCGAACAAATCCTTCTTTTTACCAGGAGTTCTTATGGGAGTTACCGGTTTTTGGTTTAAATTAATTTGATCTTCCGGCAGAGGAGGCAAAGAAGAGTAAGGATCGTATGTCATGAACGAAAGGTCTGTCAGAGATGCATGGAAATTTCCAGCTTGTATTGGGCTCTTGTGGTTGATTATCGGTAAAACAGGAGCTCTTGATCTTCTTTCTGGCAAAACTTTGAAATTGCAGCCACCATAAGGGTTTGGGATGGCTGGATTGGGTTTAATTATTTCGTCTGTATCTAGGAATAGGCCTTTCCGCTTTGCTACTGGTACGAATGGCTCAATAAAACTGTTTCCAATGTAATATTGAGTTTCGGGAAGTATTTTATCGCGATCATGTACTTCGAATGTTAAATCTAGTTGCATTCTAGGCATTTTGATGATAACGGCATTGAGAGAATGGTTTGTTTGATGCATTTGTGGAGCAATATAATTTGTTTCGCCGTTACATATGCATTTAAAGTAAACTGGAGCATATAAATTGGTTAGTTCGGTAAATGATGTGGGACTACTTGGCATATTTTCTACTTTGATGAGTTTTATGAATATTGGCTTATTTTGGCGTATCATTTGTTGATTAATTAATGGTTCTTGAACAGAAACTGTAAATGTGAGTTTTGCGAATGCACCAGGATGACATGTATATGATGTTTCAAGATTATCTGCATAACATAAGTTATGACCGTCTATTTGGAGAAATCCTTCGATGAATTTGTCCACTGATCGGCTTGCTTTCGAATGTGCCTTCGGATTTGTTGGAACTGGTATTTCATCTGGTATAGATAATTTAAATAAGAAAGGCTGTGATAGAATTTGCTGTACGATCGGCTCTGTAAGTGACAAATTTGATGTTAATGTAGATGTTCCTTCATTTGAATTAATCGCGAACTTTAAAACGCTATTTTTATTTCCAAATTGTGGTGGTAATTGAAGTTTAAATGAATTACTGACGTTTGTTTCGGGCTGCACAGCCCATTCTATCTTGAATGTGAAGACAGCCGTAGGAATTACTTGTGGCGCTGCTTTAGCGCGTTGAGTTTTAGGTGGCGTCTTCACAAAAAAAATATACGTTAGAGTCGGAAGCGCAGGATTTTAATATAAAATTAATAATTATTGACCAGAATAGCAAATGGATTTCTTCGATATAAAATTTTGCTATTCACATTGATGGAAAATTCGTCAATTTCGTAGGATTTTGGCATAATGAGATATGAATGTTAAAAGGCTGTGTGTAATTGGTGATATCTATTGATTCATTATCTTCTAAACTATCATTTTTACAAATTGAATGATTTTGCTATTGTTTTTTCACAGCTATTCTAGGTATGTTAGCTATATTCCATACTTTAGAAATTTCATGTAGTTACTATGAAAATTATTAAATTCAATAATCGAATAAAAATTTTCTAATTGGTTGGTTAATTATTATTCTTAATCTGTTAACTTATATGTATACCTCTAAAATGTAAGATCCAAAATAAATAAAATTGATTTTTTGAAATCCAAAATGTTTATTAAATGTAAAAAACAAACTTCATGATTAAATCCTCATGCAGAATTGGATATCTTGAATTCACATGAGATTGTTGAGGACTTCTTTGAGTAATATTTTGTTTGAATCTTTAGTTCTTCTTGTGTTTGAGGAATGTGTCATTATCAAGTTCTTCGTATGTTGCATAGAGTTCATCCATTGTATTCATAACGATTGGGCCTCCCCAAGCAACTGGTTCGTGGAGAGATGGAGCGCTTAATACGATCATTCTGACGCCATTGTTGCCAGCTTTGATGGAAAGCTTGTCTCCCTTTGTGAAAAGAACTGCCTGCTTCTCTGCAACTGGAGAACCTTTATGATCTCCAGAAAAGTCAGCAGATCCTTCAAATAAGTAAGCGAAAAGATTGTAATTTGGATCAGTATCTAATTCGAATTCGGCGTTTGGATTTAATTTGATATCGAAGTAATTTGCCTGAACGTATTTTGGTTTGAAAGCGCCAGTAACATTGCCAAACTTTCCTGCAATGATCTTGAGTTCTCCGCCTGGAATTTGGACTACTGGCATATCGTTCTTCTTTATATCTCCATAGGCTGGATCTACCATTTTGTTAACTTTTGGAAGATTGAGCCAAATTTGGGCACCAAGCATACGTGGAGCTGCTGCTGGCATTTCCTGATGAACAATTCCGCTACCAGCTGTCATCCATTGTGCTTCTCCACCATGAATTACACCTTTGTTGCCAAGTGAGTCTTGGTGTTCTATCTCGCCTTCAATTAGGTATGTAATTGTTTCCATGCCACGGTGTGGATGCATTGGAAATCCTGCCAGGTAATCACGTGGATTTGTAGAATCGAAAGCATCAAGCATTAAAAATGGGTCATAGTCCTTTGTATCAGCGTTACCAATTACGCGGACGAGTGAGACATCAGCGCCATCGACTGTTCTGAATCTCTTCTTTATCTTGCTGATCTGACGAAGCATGATAAGTAAAAATGATATCATTTGAATACCGTGAAATACGTTCTCAAATATAGTTGCTCATTTCTCTCAAATTTTTCTGAATTGAATGGGAAAATTTTCGTAAAATTTGAAAGAGTAAAATCATAGTCTTCTTTCAATATTTTGTGAGTATTTTATCTATTGAATGATGAGTAAAATGTATATTGTTTTATTATGGTTAAAGTGAAGATTTTTTGAAAAATCGAAGAGGTTTCCTAAGAATCGAATCTTTTTTCAATTCGAAAAGCAGAGATATAGAGAATTGTCATCAATAAATATATTCCGCATGGTTTATATATATTGGAATCACTTGCCAAATCAATTATTGTAGAAATATCAAGAAAATCTAAAACCATATATCTTTCATGATCTATATGAAATCTCTCATTTTCATGCGGATGATATTAAGTTCTTTCATGTTTATTGACGAAAATAAACATTATTTTCATGAATTTTCATAAAATGGCATGCATTGAATCTAGTTATATTCATAAATCAAATTTCCATATGATTTAACAGTAATTTATTTATAATAGAGGCTTATATTTTCTAAAATTTAAATCAAAAATCTTCGATTTTGACAATCTGCATTGATCAGTACCATGACCGTAATATATTTTAGTTATATAAGCATATTCTACTTTGCATGGTCTTAAATCATTTGTTCTTCAATCAAGTTACGAAGAATGTCGAATTGTTCTGCCATATTCAAGATTTACTTTTATTTTCAAGTGAAAACTCAAAAATTAGAAGAATAGTTAAAAAGTAGCTCTTGTCGATGTCAAAATTTATGGATACAAATCTTGTGACTTTTCTTGTGGAATACTATGAGTCACTTCATAGCAATGCAAAGGAAATTGGAAACGCATATATAGACGGTGCTCGTCTCATTATTTTCCAGGGAATTGAACAACCAAAATCATACGTTTCTGATTATTCTCGATACATTCCATCTGGAAAGCGAAAGATTCTCAAATATTCTGGAAATACTATTGGTTCAAGACTCTTTGTCCATGTCCAAAGTGAAATTGAACAAACATCGAAAAAACTTATTCTGGATGAAGCTTTCTCCTGCGTTATAAGCGAAGTATCAATAATGATTTCATATCATACCATTCATATTAACCCATTACTAGAGCCAATTGCCGTTCTTCCACCACCAAAGCCAAAAATTATCACAGTTGTCAAACCAAAGCCTGTTGAAGTCAAGCCTGCTGTTGAAGTTGAACATCCAGATCTTCTTAATACAAGAAATAGCGCTATTGTTAGCAATCTTCCTTATAATACTCCGCCATCAGAATTTGTGGCCGTACTAGAGAAATTTGGACATATTGTGAGGTACTGTCAAACAAAAGGAAAACTGATTGCAGAATTTGAGAACATTAAATTTATGCACAAAGCTGTTGAATCCACATTCAAAGAATGGAACGGGAGAATGCCTAAAGTTTTTAGATGTCCACGTGAATTTGCTTGGCCATAAAAAATAAAATTTAAAAAAATAATAATAATTTTTTATTTTTCTAATCGAATAATATATCATTATTACTTAGTTGTGATAAGCATTCATAAATGAAATGAGTAAATTATCAAATTCGAATCACATGAAAAAAATATTTGATAATTCAAAAAAATAAAGCAGAACTAATATCGGTAATGTACATTTTATTTGTTTATTTATAAATGCATTTGGTTTTATTTATTGAAATGCAAAGTTATTGACTACAAAGAATATCTTTTCCTCGATCATATTTAAGATTCATCAATTGCTCCGTTTTCACGAAGAAGCTGAATCATTAGTCTCTGATTATTTTTAATGGCGCATTGAAGAGGTGTTTTTCCAGTGCTGTCTTTTGCATTGACATTAGCACCATGTTGAATAAGAAGCTGTACTTTTCGAATATCTGGATAATTTACTGCATAATGAAGAGGTGTATTATTATCAATATCTTGTGTATTGACATTTGCACCATAAGAAATAAGAATTTCAACTATTTTAAATGAACTATGTTTTGCAGCCAAACAGAGTGCTGTTTTTCCAGTGTTGTCTTTGGCTTCGATGTTTGCGCCATGTTGTATAAGGAGTTCTATCCAAATGGCTTTGAGCGCAATTGTTGAATAACGAATAAGTATTTTTCCAGCATTGTCTTTTGCTTCAAGATTTGCGCCAAGTGGAAAGCGAAGCTGAGCTACACATGAACATTCCATTTCTGCTATATAATGAAGAGGTGTTTTATTATCATTATCTTGTGTATTGATATTTGCACCATGAGAAATAAGAAATTCTGCTATTTCTACTAAATTTAATTCCGCAGCTATGGCAAGTGCTGTTTTTCCAGTTTTATCTTTTGCTTCAATATTTGCACCATTTTGAAGAAGAAGTTGAGCTACATCTGAATTATTCACCTGTGCTGAATAATGAAGAGGAGTTTGATTATCATTATCTTGTGAATTTACATCAGCACCCTCTGATAAAAGATATTCCAATAAATTTTCTGCTGCATGGCATTGTGTTGCATAATGTATTGGTGTTTTTCCATTAAGATCCTTTGCATTAATATCAAATCCAAGGGAAATAAAATATTTACAGAGATCTATACTGCCTTTATTTGCTGCAATGTGCAGAACTGAAAGTCCTTGTTTATCTAATTGTTTGATATTTGCTCCTTTTGTAACAAGAAGTTCGGTCATTTGTAACAATTTTGATTGTGCGGCAATATGTATTGGGAATTCTCCGCTTCTATTCTCCGAATTAATATTTGCTCCTGCTGAAATTAGATATTCCACTGTTTCAATGCTATTCCTAGATACAGCTAAATGGAGAGCTGAATTTCCATCTTCATCTCTTGAATCTATCTCTGCGCCGTTTAAAAGAAGGAATTCTGCAAACTCTTTATGATTTAGAAGAGATGCAAGGTGAAAAGGGATTTTATCTTCTTTATTTTTCGCATCTATTTCTGCACCACATGAAAGAAGGAATTTTGCTGCATCAATGGATTTTCTTGATGCTTCTGCACATATATGAAGAGGTGTATTACCATTTTTATTTCTTATATTTACATTAATTCCGTGTGAAACAAGATATAGGGTGTCCAAAGGTGTGTTTAGCACAAACCTGAATACTGCGAATAGAAATAAACAAGTTACATATATATAAAGTTTATTTAAATATAATCACCATTGGATTCAATCACGCGTTCGCAGCGATCGATCCAGGCTTGAAAGATACGCTTTAAATCATCATGAGAAAATTGCTCAAATTGCTCTCTTACAAAATTTTCAAGATCATCTGGACTCGCGAATTCGCGTCCTTCAGCTCTCTTTTTTAGCGTGCCGAATAAATAAAAGTCAGAGGGTGCAATATCAGGTGAATAAATTGGGTTTGGAACAACTTTGACATTGTTTTCCACCAAGTAATTCATTACCTTATGACTTTTGTGAACTCTTGAATTATCAAAATGAATTGCAAACTTTTGTTTTTGTTGTTTGGATTTCTCAAACTCATCAGAATTGATAATTTGAGTAAGAACATTGTCAATTAGATACTGAGCATTCATCGTATTAGGTTTTTGAAGAATATCAATTGCGATGATGCCATTCACGCCCCAAAAAACCGACAACATCATCATTGGTGTGTCAATTTTTTTCTTCGGGAATGTTTGCGGATTTTCATCCTTCGGGATCCACATGATTTTGGCTTCTGTTGCATATTGAAACCAAGACTCGTCCCCTGTTACTAAAAAGCGAAACTTCTTGGATTGATACGCACCCAATATAGAGAGGAGCTCTTTCGAAGATTGGACTCTAGATTTTTTTTGAACTGAATTAAGGTTGTGCGGAACCCAACGTGTATACGCTAGTTTGTAGTTCAAATAATTGTGCAGATAATAACTGACTGTTGTACGTGGTATCTTTGTCATCTCCTCTATCCTTCTGAGTGATGCTCTTGGGTCTTCATCTAGCGCTTGAAGAATTGCTTTGATTTTTCTTTGATCCGGCGATTTTTTGTCAATTTTTATGATGGGCGCCTTTTTGTTCATGAAGTGATACATCCTAACATGATACGTTACAGTGGAATAGCTAGGAGCATCCATACCGAAGCATTTTACCAATGTCTCGTAGATTTTTTTACAGTCTTTGCATTTTTTTGCAAGAGCGAGGATGTTTTCTTTATGATTCATTAAAAAAATGAAAAAAATCCCGCCAAAATTTCCCGCGAAACCGCCTCTTGTCTCAAAATTCATTTTATATCCCGGCATGGCGCCAAAATACAACTTACTCATCATATACATATATTCATATTTTTTATTATATATTTATAATCAGCATATATCTCCTTTAATAGTCTCATATAGAGCGCTGTGCTAAACGCACCTTTGGACACCCTATATTTCATAATATCGATTCTATTATTCCATGCTGCTCTATGAAGTACAGAATCTCCATTCCTATTTGTTACTGTGATATCTGCATGATTGGATATAAGAATATCGAACATTTGTTTGCTCACATAATTGCATGAATTATGAAGAGCTGTTTCTCCATCACTACTTTTTGCATTAATGTCCGCACCAAGTGAGATTAAATATTCAACAAGGTTAGGCATGAAGAAAAGAGGAGAATAAATAAAACAATGGTTGAGATTTTGTGTCATATCAAGGTATGCAAAAAATGCTGGAATATTATGATAGAAAGCTAATTCGAATAAATCAACACTAAGATATATATTTTCATTCAGCAAAAATGTAACAAAATCAATATTATGTGAAATAATTGCAAATGTTAGGCATCTTTGGTTTGATTTCTTTAGCTTCAAGCATTCGCCCATTATGTCAGGATTTCCGCCCAAAAATGATAATTCAAGGCATGTAGTAGTAATTTGTGCTTTTAACTCTTGATATAGGTATTTAAAGCAACTTACAGCACCATGATAACAACATAATTCTAATAGCGTTAATCCGTCACGGTAATATGGATATAAATCACTTTTGAAAAGTTGATCTACTTCAAAACCAGGTGTTTCTGTGAATGAAATTAATGATTTTATGTCATCATCCATAATTGCTCTATGAATTGTGTTTTCTGCATGAATATCAATCGTGTAATTTTTTTCTTTGTATGATTTGAATAGTGCTTGGTTGACTGCGCCTACTGGCAATCCATAATCTTGATAAAAGAAATAATATAAAACAGGAGAAATGTATGGTTCTGGATTGATTTGAAACTCTTCATAAACAATCTTTAACAATTTCATGTATGATCGCAAAAATCTGTTATTATATTTAAAAGCATTCGTAACAAGGAAATATACATTAACTGGAGTACAAATTTCTGTGTCAAGTAAGCGCTTTTTGAAATTTTGATAAATTTCTTGGATTTCTTCATCTTTAGTTACTTTTAGGCGAAATATTGGAGTAAAAATATCATCATAATCTTTGTACTTTTTCATGAGCTCTTCATAACTCATTCTCGAGTCCTTGTTCTTAAACATTTTTAAGAAAAATGATTTTTCAATGGATTTTTTCTCAAAATTTTCAATGTCACTTTTTGTATTATTTTTCCATGTATATATAATAATACTAGATTTACTATTAAAAATTCTTATATTTTCTTTGACATTTTTCCAATAAAATTTCTCATTGAATTTCTTTTTCCAACATAAAATATGAATAAGCATCATAATGTTATAATTATATGAATATGAAATCTCTCAAATTCTCAAAAAAAAAGCATTTTTTTGATTTCGTAATACAAACAAAATACAAATAAATATTTAATATAACTTTGGAACAGCAGAGTTAAATGACTGTTTGAGGAAAGGAGTGTCAAGATTGTATTGACCAGGACCAAGTCCTGTTTTCTTTGAGTTTTTCCTGAATCGATCCGACCTTGAGATAGAGTATCTCGGTCCTTTCATGTCCCTGTTGATCGTATATCCTTCTGGAGAAGGAGCATCTGTCATTGTTGTCTTTATCCAGTCGCCAGTGTTGTCATACCTCGTAGCGAATATCCTTGTTTCTCTTTCTTCAACAGGGAAGTCAAGATCATACTCACCTGGCCCTGGTACATCATTAGAATCTGAACCCATTCGAATTTCCTTGCTTTGGAAGGCAGGGCTCTTCTGAGGTTTCTGTTTGTTAGGATCTGGTATATTGTAGTCGCCTGGAGAGGGTCCTTCTTGGCCTGGAAATAATTCTTTGTTAGGAGCACGATTTTGAAGGACAGATGCTGGGCCACGTGACTTAGGTTTAATATTCTGAGGGGTATATGCGCCTGGTCCTGGTACATCTGTGCTTGGATTGTCAAATCTGACGGAAGTAGAACCAAATACGACTTCTCGTTCACCAAGATCTGTTTTTTGAAGAGTATGTTGTGGTTCTTGATTGATAGTATATGCTCCTGGTCCAGGAGTATCTGATAATGAAGTATATGAATCTCGAGCAACTTTTGTACGGAAAATAGGGGATTGAGAACGCGGAATTTTAGTTGTAAAGTAGAGACCGATACTTTGATTGATTTCTGGGGTTTTAGAATTGCTTTTATTTTCTCCTTTGATTTTAATCGGAATTTTATAGTTTACATCAGCTGGAGAGTATTGGGCAGGTGCAGGGGTGTTTGCTCTTTTAGTCATGAAGATATTGTGGTTTCTTTTGCTTGCATTGATTGTTGAAGGTCGAATTTGTGATTGTGTGGCAGTTTCATATGTACCTGGACCAATATCTGCTTCCGTTCGCTTCGGTGCGTTACGTCTAACTAATCTACCTTGTTCATCAAGATAATTTGCGTTATCTGGTATGTGAGGTTGATATTTTCTTTGTCTTGGATGATGTACTTGCGAATATATTGTCTGCTTCTTGCCCCATTCCTGTTGGCGTGAGTATTCTGCAGGAGATGGATTTGTTGAATCAACTGAATAAACGTCTCTTCGAACTCTTGATTTAAAGAAAGAACTGACAGGTCGAGATTGCGTTGTAGTCGGTTCTATGTTGTATGCACCTGGTCCTGGTGTCACTAGATCAGGTCTATTGTAAAAATCTCTACTTTGAGGTTGAGAAATCTTACGAACTGTTCGAATTTTAGAAAAATTTGTTGATGTATTGTAGCTGCCTGGACCAACATTAACAGGCGTAGTTCTTGATTCAAGAGAGATCTTTCGAAACGCCGATTGGGACCAAGTCATTGAATGTTCGTTATTTTGTTTTTTGATAGGTACTTCGCATTTTCATGGAGAAATAGCTTTAATTTTAGCATTGTTTAATAAATTTCATGTAGACTTGAGAATTTTGCCATAAAAGAATTTTCATCAAAGTAAAATAAAGCATTTAAGCCTTGAAATATATCAAACAGTATTTTGCCGGTAGAATATAATTTAACAAATGATGCAAACTCAATAAATATCTGAATATTGAAATGGAAATCGAATTTGTTTGAAAGAACTAATTTTTAGTATAAGAATAAGCATTTTCTTGTCATATAAATTCCATAGCCAACTTGATTTAGTTATTTCATAGAGAAATCACAAAAAATATCTTTTTCTCTAAATTTATTTCTTTTGTAATATTGATTCTTGTGTTGAAAAAGAGAAAAAAATTACATATTTAAACTCTAATACTATATACAACTTTTAAATAACATAAGATGAAATATTATTAGGGGATGAAGGTTCAGATGATCTGCTTGATTTTGGTCTAAGCGGAGGAATGAGCTCATCTATTGGGCAGTCAAATAAATTCTTGCCAAATAGAATATCAACGTGAGCAATAGTTGGAAGAGGAATGGTTTCTTCAACTTTGGGGAGTGAATTCTGTTGGCCAACGAAATAATTCATGACTGATGGTGGTGACTGTGGTGGTGGTGAGTCAATTTCTGGCTTGGCCTTGAGGGATGGTTTCCTCTTTGAAATCTGATAGTATCTGTAGCGGCATTGTACATCAGATCTGGTTCCAAGGCGCTTAGCAACATTGGCCCAGGAGTGTTCGCCAAGTTCAGCAACTAAATCAACTAATTGCTGCTCTTCTTCAGCACCCCATGGGAGTTTAGTAATTTTTGGGTCCAAAGCACGGCCCCAGCGCTGTGAGCATTGGGATCTAGACCTGTCTCCACCAACAAATTGAGAAATAGACTTCCAATCGCCAAGACCAAACTTATGGATGGCAGCCAAGAGGAGTATATCCTCTTCGGGGCGCCACATGCGGCAGCGACGATGGTCAATGTTCCTGGTCTCGGTTGGTTCACCGATATCTGGCATATGATAGTCAAAAGCGTGGAGAACTTTTGAAATCATAGTAGCAGGAACAATATTATGGGCATTGAATGAGAGGATTTGGCAGCATTCTTCGTAGGAAATCTTGCGGTTGATCTGATCACAGATCGCTTTTTCGCAAATTGCCATAGCATTAGGAGCTGTGCAGTAGGCTTCGGCTTCTAATGAGGCATAAGCAACACTTGCGAGTGGGCAAGAGTCTTTTCCTTTAGCAATATAGCAACTTTTAGTCCTAAGCATAATAATGAGAATTTGTGATAATTTGACACTCTCTGAAAATAGTTTATTAGGTCAATTTTGACCTAGCATATCGTCCAAAATTGACCTTGTCAAATTTGAAATTGACCTTGGCAAAAAATTGTGAACCATTCAATACATTTGAAAAACGAATTACGACGTATATGCAAGAGATTAAATTCCACTTGAGATCAGATCTTCATTGCGAAATTCTAATTACCTGATCAAAAATAATGACGTAGAGAACCTAAAAAAAATTAAAAATGCGAATCATCTTGAAATTCATATTAAGGAACTTAAATAGTTGAGGATCATTATATTTAGATCAAAATTTAATGAAAAGGAGATTTATTTATAAATTATGCACTTACTATAAATGAATAGTTTTTAATGTTTTCATCGTTTGTCCCAAATTAGATTTGATAAATGTAAACTTTTCAAAACCGTTGTATTTCTTATGAAATATGCTGATCATAATTTTTCGAGATAATACAAGAAACCGATTTTAATAAGTGAACATGACGCTAATCCTTCATCAGATTGAATCTGAAAATTGAATTTATTTATCATATCAGAATAAAATTACATGGTTGGTTTAATTATCATTAGCAACCCAATTTCTTTAAATTTTAGGTGTAAAATAATAAACGTCAATTTTGTTTGATACTCAATTTTAATTTTGATCTGTAATTAGTAAAAATCATTTATTAATATATAATGATCCGATTGGTATTCAAATTAAAAATTTTCAAAAAACATTTCGAAATTTGGATCTGATTGTGATAGCACAACTTTTCTTATTTAACCTTCGCTATTCCCGTTTAAACTAATGAAAAACGATTCATGTAATTGATCGTGATTGTTAGGATCATATTGAAACATTGAATTAATAAAAAATGTTAGCTTGTGGACTTCTATCGATTGAAAATTTTCCCAAAACTCATGTAAGCAAAAGTAATTGTAAAATTTAGTCTCTTTTCGTGACGGGGCAGAAATTTTGTTGTTTTTTAGGATAACACAATCTTAAATATGAATGGTCGAACTACCTCATCCACTCTTATCCGAAAATTGAAACAATTCAACATTTTACAATGGCCCGATTATAAGATGCAGAGCTGTTGTTGAACACTTGTAAACAAAATATTATCTCATTATTAAAGAATTATTCACTCGGGTGGGAATTCGAAATGTAAATTTTGCAATACAGATGAGAAAATCGAAATTTTACTCACAACAAATTAAATATTCAAATAAAACATAAAAATATTCTTAAAACTCGTATCCAAGATTTGTCAGACATGAAATTACGTGTTTGGCATAGCTGCACTTGAACAAAAAGTTGTAATTATCATATGTTACCAAGTAAATAATGTTCTGCTGGCTTTCTGTACCAAACTCTATGATTCTTTGGATAACATAATTTCCAAATTGGTCGGAAACCATTTCTTTGATTCTTGGCCTGTTATAGTTCCCTTCAGGACCTATAATCTCTGTAAATATCATATTCTGTTGTTGCGGATTTGCCTTCCTTATGCATTTTTCTATGACATTCGATGCAAATTTATGCATGGAAAACTCATAGAAGTGCCCTGTGAATGCATCAATGAGAGCTTGGATGTGTTCTGGTGTTCCGCTATTCAAAATGTTCTGAACAACGTAGTTTCCGAACTGGTTTGTCGCTAAAGTTTCCGCGCGACATAAAACTTCATCGACAAGAGGTATTAATTCTTGTATAGGAAGACGATCAAAGAGCTGTTGAATAACTCTGCAGCCCCAGTTGTCAACAACAAGATCGTAAACGTGTGTTTTGATTTTATTGATAATATCTGGAACTCTTTGCGGGATTTTGATAATAAAACGTTGGGCAATGTGATTTCCGTTTTGGCTACTGCATAATTCTACAAACCTGGGAAGTAATGCTAAGAAAATTGGATCAATATTACTAGGTGAAGTTGTAGACTCTATAAATTTCTGTAAAACGCGACATCCGTTTGGATGATCGACTATTCTTTGAACATCTTCCATGAAAAATGCAAGCATCCTTGTCTGTTGTTCCTCATTAAGATATTCACAAAGTTTCTGTATAAGAAAGTTTGCTGCTCCATCGCATACAAGATCTCCCATATGCGGATATAATACGTTGAATATTGTATCTCTTTCAGCTGGTGTTGCATGATCAATTTGTTCTTGAAGCATAATGCAATCTTGTCTGTCTTTTGCCATTTTTACGTACTGTGATGATTGTTGGCTGTAAAATGGAGATCCAACAACGGTTCCCGGAGGCTGAGGTAAAAATGTATCGATTATCTGTGAGATTCTTGCAGGAGTTGTTTTCTCCCCTGTTATAGATTCCCATAGACTTACTGATAATAAATTGCAACATTGGTATTTAGGAATTTCTGGAGTCGGTCGAGTAATTTTTGGAGCATACTTATTTAATGATGCTGGTGATATTTGGGCTGAGACACTCCGATTTATTCGGTGTGCCGAATCTTCATTCATTGGTTTGTTTCAGTAGAAATGAATGTAAAAAAATAATAGTATATTTTTGCCATGTAAAATTCAAATTTATTATGTGTCAAAATTATTTTTATTCGTGTGATTTGATGATAAATATGCATTGTAGAGAGTGTATTTAAAATGAAGAATTTTATCGAGATTTTTACGTTACAAAATCTTCAATGACTTCATTAGGAGCTCGACCTTCAAAAACAACAGCATCTGGATTATCAAAAGAAACAGACGAGTTTCTTTCAAAGCTAATGAAGAAGAATGGAATGTCCCAAAGAAAACAAAAAGAAATTAAACAACAATTATCCATGGGTGGAGCACTTCCTCCTCCAGAAAAACCAAAGCCATATAGAGTAGAAACTAAGCCAAAGCCAGAACAGAAAGTATTTACAATGGCTCGCGTAGGTCAGAGACCATTAGTCAAACAAGAACAAACAATTCTCGATGAAACTAATAATTACGAACCTGTAGTCATGCCATCACAGCCTATCGGCCCATCTGCAGAAGAAAAGCGCAAAGAATTGGCAACTAAAATGTATGGTATTGATGAAGAAGCAGAAAGACAGAAAGCTCTTGAAGCATTGGCTAATGCGCCATACCAACCTGCATTTACCATGGAAGATCAGATTATTCAAGAAGTTCAGGAAAGGACAGACTATCTCGAACAGATGCATGAGATGGGTATTCATGATCATGATGGTGAAACATTAAGACAAATTGAAGTAAGATTAGAAGAATTGAAGAAGAATCGCGCATCCAAATAAATTTTTGTATCTATATCTATAAAATTATAATTATGTTAATATAATTCAATTATTTTGTGGCTCATACACCTTCATTATCTTTCATCTCCTCCAAAATACTGAGATTCTATCTCAATTCGATTCTAATGATAAATTTTCAAGCATAATCTATTGTGTAATACTTTACATAACGAAATATATTAGATGATTAGATATCTTTAGTTCTATGCATTATCAATTATCATAAAAAATTTATTAAACTGATAATACTGAAAAAGGATAAGAGGAGTTCATACATGGAAGAATTGAATATGATTTGTCTTATTGAATGTGTTTGGTTTAAAGTTAATAAAATTTATCTTTTTATAAAACATAAAAAAGCAATTAGAATTTTCATATTGAAAAGAATTAATACAAATACTTTATAACACATCTATTGAAAACGAAAACATAAAAAAAATAAAATTATTTTTGAATATAAGTGACTTCTTTCTCGTCCAAGTACTTTTTCGTCTCATCAATCGTCTCAAAGCAAAGAATATCCATATAGTCGTTCAGTGTCATGTTCCTAAATCCTTTCTTCGCTTTCAAAAGCGCCTCATATCTTACACTCGGCAAAGACGTCGTTAGAACGTTTTTCATCATGGGAGTTGCTGTCTTATAAAGCCTGAAATATGTAACATAGTCACCGCCTGAAATCGCCCTCCAGATTTTTAGAGCAAAAGTGGCACTGTCACTTTTTAGGATTTCGAGATTGAGACGAGGGATGAAAGTGTATAAATCGAACGAGTCCTGGAACCTTACCAAGTAAATAATCTTGTAGCCGTCGATCTCAGCAATATTCTCCGTCTTTCCAAGCCCTTCATTGTACAATTGTTCAAGAGGAGTTAAGCATTGATTGAAATTGTCCCAATCAAAGTTTTCTATGGCCAATTTAAGTGATGTTTCATATACCAAAACAGCAAAATCGTCTTCGATATGTTGAACTGTTAAATCCTGACGGATTGAGCGCATTTGGTCCCTAATATACTGATAGTCACCTGTTCTACGGAATTTATCAAGGCAGAAATCAAGTGATTTCTCCAAGATATTATGTGGTCGGATATTTTCTGGGTCTGGTTCGCCTGTAAGACGGAGATATGGCTTCTCGAGGGCTGTGCTTGTACCAACTATTCTGTTATACTCTATAAGATCTTCAAATGACATAGAATGAGTAACATCTCGGGGTTTCGACTTCTGTGTGTTAGAAATTAAGTTTGTATTTGTTTTGTTATCGTTCTTTTTCTCTAAACCTTTGAATATTTTGTTATTTGACAACGTCTTTAAGTCCATATCCAGCAAACTTTCAATTAGCGGTGATTTATTAGATTTATTGGATTTATTTTCTGTTTTTTGTTCTTCTTGTTTCTTTTTATTCTTCTTTTTGTCTTTCTTTTTCTTCTTTGATGATATTTCTTGGATATCAAGTTGAATTTCATCAATAACTTCTTGTATTTCGTCCTCCTGTGATTTGTTCTTGTTCTTTTGCTTGTTTTGTGCTGCCTTTGCTTGTTTTTCTAATAATTTTTCTTTTTTAGATTTCTTAGCTTTGTTTACTGTAGGATTAACATTCTCTTGTGTGTTGTTGTCTGAATCATCGGTATCTTTTAAGATTTCGAATTTATTAACGGATAATAATTTTTGAGCTGGAGAAATTGAAGCTTTAAATGGTGTATTATCCTTTCCTTCCTTTGCTTGTTGATCTTCGTTTGATTTTAATATTGTTGACGATTTAAATGCAAGAGTTTCTGTAGGTTTAACTAAATGAGCCCATCCAGATGAAATTTGAGCCTTAGATTTAATAGAAGTAATGGTTTTTTCATTTTGCCAGTCATGAGAAAGAAGAGTTCCTCGAATTGATGCATCAGCAATTTTTTGCACAAGTTGATTTGATACATAAGTCTTTTCATCATCATTATCGCATTGTACAAAGCATCGCTGAATGTATCCTTTCAAGTCATCCGAATATTTATCATAAAATTTTACTTTTTCTTTAAAAAAAGCCGGAACATTGTCTTCTGGAAGGGCGTTGCTTTTCTTTGGTACCTGCTTTGGCTGAAGACCGAAAATACTTGCTATTTTGTTCAATTTTCTTTGATTTTTGTTCATTTATAAAATCTTCTGTCACTTTTTATCGATCGGAGGCACAGAATTTTGTTTCAGCAAATGAACATAAAAAATAAATCAATTATGATCAAGAAATCTGGACACATTCGATAAATTGGATAAAATGAGAAAATCATAGATATTTGAAACACAATCTGATTGAATTGTATCTAAACTCATCATTTTCTTCAAATCTTTTAAATGAAATTTTGTTATGAAGAGAATTATAGTAATGGAACTAGATATAATTGGATTTTCTACATCAAATTGAAATCTCTAGGAATTCTCATGCACAAGAACCTCACTTCAGTATTAAAGAAATTACTTAATTTCTTTTGCCTAGTTATAATGATGCCGAATACTGATACAATCAAAATCAGAAATTCAAAAAATCTGAAATGTCGGGAGAATGAAATTAATTCAAAATAATTAACACACACTCGATGTGAGAAATAAAAATATAAAATTAATCAGATCAGAAAAATGAATGGCGCAATCCCGATGAATGGAGTTTCAGACAGCTTATTTGATTGTTGTCTGCAAAACGACAATAAGATAGTTCAAGCCATTTCATTGGCATTTGATCGAATGTTCCAATTTGATTGCGTTCTTACTGTCGATTATTTGATTCTTATTATTTTCCCAATTCTATTCAAAATATACGGATTTGGTGTTCAACAGCGTTTGAGAAACTTCTACGATACTGCCAGATTGATATTTATCGAATTTATTTTCTTATGTTCATTTTCAGTTAGTTTAACTACAATTATTCACTTATTCATCAAACAGCCAATGGCATGCGTTACATGGGATGGAAGAACTATTGCTCCTGCTTTTAATGGATCAAGATCACCAAATCATGAAATTATTATCATTATGATCTTAGGACTTGGTGTTTGGTTCTTAAAAGTAGGCTATGACAAAGTCAGAAAACTTATTACAATTGTCGTAATCGCAGTTGAATGCGTATCTACTGTTTTTGCCGGTTGTGCTTCGATTTCACAAGCTTTGATTTCAGTTGCATTCGGTTTTTGGGTTGTATTTCTCTTCAAATTTATACCTCCAATAGGAATTCCTATATTAGGCGTCTTTACAATAATAATTTCGATAACTCTCTTTATCTTTACGTACAAACACTACATTTGGAATGCTCTAATGCTCAGACAGTCCATGCATCTCTGTGTTCGAGGATTTATCTCTTTGGTCATTTCAATTTGTTTAGAACTCAGATTTGGATTCGGAAGAGAAGATTTTGACTGGATGAAAATATCGTGGGGATCACACTGGAGCAATCAGTCTACAGAAGATGACGATGAAGTCGTTATTCCTTCGATGATTAAAGAAAATATTCGCGATGATTTTGGAAAACTACTTAAAAACGATTTAATTGACTCTGTCATCGCTTTTATTGTATTCCTGCTTGGAAATATGGGACTTTGTTTCGCAGATTCTACTTTTGCTTTTATGATCGAATGATTTACTGTATTTATCATTCGAACTTCATTTATGTTGTATAAATTGATTTGTTTGATACTATGTTTGATGTTTTATATATTTTTTTCTCTATTTGTTCATTAAATTTAGTTAAATTAATAATATTAATGTGAAATTTATCTATCACTGTAACTGTATGATGGAATGATGATATGATATGTACTTCAAATTGTTTAATTTCTTTTTTGTATGAAGATTCATCTTAAATATTGTCGAATCAGTAATAGATTTCAAGCATATATTTATAATTGCTTGATTTAAGTATAATCATTGGTATTTTTCTATCAGATAATGGATATATATGAAGATATACAATTATTCACATGAAAACAAAATATTTTGGAGATTTTTCAGTTAAAATATATTTTATGATCAAAATATAACAAAATATATTTTCCAAATTTTTTCCATTTTCTGAATTTTGTTATGAAATTCTACATCTTTTATAAATATTTTAAAATTTTCAAAAAATTTATGGAAAAAAACTCCATATAAACAAGCGAGTATAATCTAATTTATACATCATATTAAGAGAATCTCAACTAATTTTGATAAAAATGAAAGGTATTTTTAAAATTACTTCTTATCTCAAGATATGTTAGGGATGGAACAAGGTTACTGATGAAACTAATCATATATAAATATCACAAAATCAAAATATTAATGCTATATGTGCTTTAAACACTAACATTGATAGGATTGAGTTCAAATTAATGTCAATAATGCTTCATTCTTGGTGAATCAACCTCATTATCATCAACAAACTTCAAATACCTTAATATTGCATATAAATGGCTTTGTAATTACATTTTTATTTCATTTTACCAACCCAACAAAATTTTAACAAAAGTAACAATATTCACGCTCAAAATGACTGAGCAAGTTCCTTCAAATCCAACTCCATCTTCACCAAAGCCAGAACAAACACCACAATCACATGTTATCAGCAAGATCAGGAAAGAGCGTGTTTCTAACAATGAGCTTGAATATCTTGTTTTATACGAAGGATCTGATGATAAAAATGGAACATGGGTCAAAGCTTCCACTGTTACAGATCCAAAGCTTCTTGCAGCCTTTGAGAAGTTAAAGGTTCAGCGTGAAAAGCAGAAGCAACACCGTCTTGAGAAAAAAGCTGAAAAAGAAAAAGAGGCAAGCGAGAAACAAGCTCAAGAAGAAGGTCAAGAGCATAAACCAGAAGAATCTAAATTGGTTCAGGCAAAGCTTGTCCTTCCTCCTGCAAACCAACAAGCACCACAACCCGGATTACGACCAACTGTTCCTTCCTTCCTTAAAAAAAAAGTCAAACCTAAATTAGAAGCAATATACGGCATAGAGAGTGTATCAAATAAGGAAATCATCTTCCTTATCAAAAAAGTTGATGGTCCGATCGAAAGAAAGCCATTGTCAGAGCTCAAAAGCGAATATCCTTTCGAACTAATCGATTTCTTAACCAAAAACATCGAATTAACAAAGGAAGAATAAGTTTTCTTCAAAATACCAAACGACATTTCCTTTTCTCCCCATGATAATGCAATTTATTCGTAATTATACTATTGTAAATAACTGCCATTCTTGATACTTCTCTCTTTCAACTTCGACGTTACATTTATTACTTTTTTTATTACATTTAAAGAGTTTATGTTTTGTGATTGATTATGTTTTATTTGAACTGATCCGAGTGTAATTATTGTAAAATTGGTCAGTCTTTATCAAAATAATGAAATGATAGAATTGATTTCATAACTTAAAGATTAGTATTGAGATGGTACAATCATATACAAGCAAATAATAGTATGAAATCCTTAAGCACCTCAAAACAACCATTTTGAAAACAAATAAAAATTATTCCGTGTAAATTATACAATTTAATACAAAAATTCTATAAGGACGGGCAATTTTTTTGATTCGTTTCAATTTTTTTTTCAAATTCAACTTGAGAATTTCATGAGTAAAATAGATAAAGATCTCAAGTTTGATATTAATGATATTTCAGAGCCATCACAAAGCAATGCTGGCGATGAGTATGTTCAGCAATTAGAACTTCAATTACAAGATTATAACAAAATTCGAACAGAAATCAACGAATTAAAAGATCAAAACCAGCACCTTACGGAACAGAATTCCATTCTACAAGGCAAGATCGAATGGATAACTCAAGATTACGAAACCAAAATCAAAACAATTCAAAGTGTTACTTCGAATCAGTTAGAATCTAAAAACAATATGATTACAAAACTGAATTCGGAAATCAAATCAATCGAAGATACTTTTACTGAAAAATTAAAACAATCAAATCTCCAAAACAACGAAATCAAGAGGTCTCTTGACCAAAAGGAGAATTCGATTACTAAGTTCCAAGATAAAATGCAAAACAACCAATTTAATTCATTAGATGAAATTTCAAATTTCATCGAAACAAAATTCAATGAAATGCAAAACGAGATGAATAAAATGAGTAAACGCGAGCAAAGTGTACCAATCAGCGACTTCAAAAAGCTAAGTAATGAGTACCAACAGACAAAATCAAAATTATCTTCAACAATCTCCGATTTAAACGCTCAATTGGCAGCTGCAAACGACAAAATATCAGAGTTTGATGCACAACTCGACGAAATACAGAAGAAATCATTAGCAGATGAGTTAAATTACACAAAAGAAATCACATCTGTTAAAAATGAGAGGGATAAGCTCAAATTGGAACTCGATTCATTAACAGAGAAGCTCAAAGCCAACCAAGCAGATTTAGATGCTGCAACAATCGAACAAACCAAAAAAGATTCAGAAATTTCAAAACTTTCTGCCCAAAACACCGAAAATGACAACATAATACAGAAAGCAAAGACCAAGATCAGCAAGTTACAAGCTGCTTTGTCCGATTTGAAGCAGGAAAATGATACAAAAGAACAACAAATATCAGAAATGGCCGAAGACATTGAAATCAGACAAACGATCATTGACAGTCTTACTTCCGAAAAGGAGACACTCTCAAATTACATAGACGAATTGAATGAAAAAGTTCAACAAAAAGAAGAACAAAATTCGAACTTAAACAACGCCATTGCTGAGAAACAACAAAAGAATGAAGCATTGGAGAAAGAATTACAAGCATCTAAGAACTCCATTTCGAATTTGGCCAAAGAAAAATCAAATCTTACAAATACAATCAATGATTTGAAGTCTAAGCTTGACCAAAAGGCGAAAGATGCACAAGGATTGAGCAGCCAAATCAAATCTCTTCAAAATGATTTAGTTCAATTGAAGAATGAAAATCAAAATCAAATTGCAAAGATAAAACTCGAGCATGCAGCAATTTCAGATGATATGAACAAGAAGATGCATGTTCCTTTATCTGCATTTGAGATTATTGGCGCTCCAAGAGATTTAATTGCAAAACTTCATGAAATTGGCTCGAATCAGACAATGCAGATACCAGCCAAGGTCACTGCATCATTGACTTCTTTATATGACTACATGAAACGCCAAAAGAACGATCAAAGTGAATCTCAGATTTCATTACTCAACGAAAAAGTTGGTGGATACAGTAATTTGATCAATCTCCTTTCGCAGATTAAGCCTGATGATAAGAATATCAGTCAAGAAGACCTCGCTTCCGATGAAACTGCGCAAAAACAATTTGTTCAATCCATTAAAACAGCTTTGGACGAATTTCCAAAACTTCATGCGGAAAAACAGAAGATAGAACAAGCAATGAGCGACATAATGAAAGCTGCAAATGCAAAGAAGCCTGCTGATATAGTTACAGCTCTCAATGATGCGAATAAGTCCGTCCAAGACCTTTCTAATTTCATTGAAAAACTCCATGAAAAGAACAAGAAATTGAAAAGTGACATCGGTGAACTTCACTCCGCTAATTCAGAGCTAAACGATCAAATTTCAAAGAAATCCGAACAAATCGATGAATTGAAGAACAACGTCAATGATATGGTTGACGAAATACATAAGAAGAACATAGAGATCGAGAAGTTAAACGGAGAGATCGAAAACCAGAAAAATAATTTCGAAATCAAATTTAAGAACTCAATAGAGAAGGTTAACAACGACAACCTCGAAAAAGCCAAGAAGCTGTTACAGGAGATAGAGAATCTCAAGGCAGAAGGCCAAGAAAGAGAGAATTTGTTGAAACAAGTTTCAGATAAGCTCGAGAAGTACAAATTGGACCGAAAGAGACTGAAGACCATGATAAGAGACAGAGACAACCAATTGGCCGACGTTCAGAACAAAGTTGAACAAGAATTTGATGCGAAATCTCAAGCAGAACGCGAAGGAGCCATGGCACAGCTTAATGATCTCAAGAAGGTATACGAAGGTGTTCTACAAGAATTGAAGAAGAAGAATACAGATCTCTTGGCCGAAAACGAGAATCTCCAAAATTCAATTAAAAAAGTTTCACAAAAACTCGAAGAAAACCAGTCAACGAGTCAAAGTCTTGAAGACAAACTTGTCTATGCAGGCAATGCATTCGAGCAATTGAAGAAGAAGTACATTGAACTGAAGAAAAACTCAGAAATGAGAGAAAAAACACAAAAAATGTTGATTACAAACGAAACGAACAACAAACTGCAGAATATGAAGGCCCGATATGAAATTGAGTCTAGGAAGATCTACAGTGACATCGTGATGCAGCTGATGATGTTTTATGACACAAACGAACTCCCAAGTTACGATGTAGTGATGAAAGTCGTTTCCAAAGCAAAGGAAGCAATAAATAGACTCACGGCTGAGTCAAAGGCAATCAGAGGAATGCTTGGAATAACTGAAAATGAAAGCCTTGAAAATGCTATTCACAACATTTTGTCAAAATACAATTTTTAAATGTTAAATCTTATAATTTATAATATTTTCATGAGTTTTTACTATAATAACACATATATCTTTAATGTATGAAGAAAGTTTCTAAAGTACTTATTTGCTATGCTCAATGTACAATTCATTAATTGATTGATAAAAAATTCATGAGTTTTATCTATTTCCAATTCATACATATATATTATTTTGTGTGGAAATTTAATGGACTAATCATATTTTGTATAAAAACGAAGTAAATTCATATTTTGGATAAAATTTTTATAAGAGTTATTCTAATTCTTCTTCAGATTAAGAATTACTCAATAATTAATGCTTTTGACATTGGGCTTTCTCTTATGTGGCTTCATTTGAATAAAAGGTATCAGTCCATAATAATTTATTGTATTTTGTATTTCAGCAATGATGCATATTGAATTTCTAATGTAGTGTAATCATATGTTATTGATATCTATTACTGACATTCTATTTGAGATTTAAATTCATTTCTATGTGAAGTAATATCAATTGGGAAAGATAAGTCTATAATAAAAACATGCAATTACCGGATTTATTGTATCGAATTTCTTCAATCTTCTGATATAAGTGTCAAGATGAATAATGCCTAACAATAAACAGTTATTCTTCTGTACTGATGCTATAATTATATCACAGAGACTCTACACTTCAGCACTCTCTCGAACTCCCATGGTTGCTATGGAGCGATTTGCTCAAATTTGCCAATATTGGCATTACAGAGAGTTCGAAATAAAATTCTTATTGTCATTAACTAATCCAATTCATTTCTTCAAAAAACAATGCAAAATTTTATAATCGACTTGTGTCTCAGAATTTTTCCAAAACATGACAAGATTTGAAAGAATTTGTTTACATGTTTTGACTGTCACTTTTTTCAATTTTTTTTTCTGTAAAATTTATCTATGGGTCAGGACGAATCCCTTCCTGCAATTCCTCCAGATCAAGTTGATTTAGCACTGCAAAGGAAGAAGCTAACACATCTCCCATACTTTCTTCCATCAGATTCCACTGTTCAATCGATAGATTGCTCAAAAAACAAAATATCGCAGTTTCCACTATCATTACAGAATATTTTATCGATTAATTTATCAGACAATAACCTTGGTGCTATTTTTGCTGATAAAAACGACTTAATTTTCGATTATCCAAATTTAAAAACTTTAATTTTAACAGAAAATTCGATCGAAAATCTTCCATCATCACTCAAAAATATCAAAAGTCTTACTGATTTGTATTTGGACCGAAATAAACTCACAGAAGCCGATTTAGATTTTCCAAATTTGGAAACTCTTAATCTTCTGATGAATTTTTTCACGGAAATACCAAAATTACCAGAATCTCTTACATCCTTGAACCTTGGCTTTAATAATATCCGAACTCTTTCGTTAAGTTTACCAAATCTTCGTGTTTTGAGTTTATCCGGAAATGAGATCTCCAAAATTGATCCTTCCATATCCTTCCCTAATTTGGTCCATTTGGATCTCTCTTTCAATAAGATTTACTCCATTCCGCCAATAACTTCTTTCGCTCCGAAGTTAGAAGAGCTTCTGATAGCTTTTAACATGCTAGAAGAGTTCCCTACACATATACCCTTGGAAATAAGAAGAATCGATGTTTCCCATAACGTAATTAGCAAATGGGAAGATCCGATTTGTCATTTGGTCCAATTGACATCCCTTGACATTAGTTTTAATCTAATAACAGAAGTACCTGAATTGCCACCAAATATAGAGATATTTACCCCTCATAATAATGAAATTCGAAAAGTTTATCCGATTACAGCTCCAAAACTCAAAAAAGTCTTTTTCTCGTCAAACAAACTCGCTAAAGTACCAGATACTATCGAAAGCTCCCTTGATATCTTCAGTTTGGAGAGAAATTCAATCGAAAATATCGATTGTTCGAAAATTTCAACAAATATCAGAAAATTATCACTTACACATGGATTTATTGGCGAAGTACCACCAGAACTTTGCACATTCAAGGTTCTACAGTTCTTAGATTTGTCTGGAAATCATATAGTTAAACTTCCAGACGAAATCGGCGAAATTCTTAATCTACAGACATTGCTATTAAACGAGAACCCAATATCTTCTCTTCCACAGCTTCCAAATTCATTAGTTACTCTTGCATGTTGCAAATGCCAGTTCCATGAGATTCCTGATTCCGTTCACCACCTACACAGTCTCAAGTGCCTTGATTTCTCATGCAATAGAATCAAATCCATATCAAATCTCCCAGAAGTTCCTTATATTAACATTTCATGCAATTTAATTTCATCGTTGCCTACTCTTCCTGTTTCCATTGTCAATATCCATGCATCACATAACAAACTACGCAAGTTTATCCTCGAAAAAGACTACAAACTCCTTCAGGAGATTGATATCTCACATAACCGACTTACACAAGTAGTTTTGAGGCAGTTAGATATGCTCAAGTCCTTAAAACTTGCTTTTAATCCTCTGAAAATCGAGATAGATTTCTCAAAATTCCCGATGATCGATTGTATCGACGTTGTTCAAACAGAATGCACTTTTTCGGCTACATCGGCTCCACCAACAAAAATGCGCGAACTCGTTTACCATGATCCCGAGTGGTTTTCGAGATTAACATCTGCGCAATTCAAACTCTTCGAATGTCAAAAAGCAGGGTACAGCGAACAGTGCGGAATCAGGCCGAGCATGGAAGATGCCTTAATTATCAGAACAGACCCTTCTCCGGCCATTTACGGAGTTGTTGACGGACATGCCGGGTTTAGAACGTCCAATTTAGCGGCTTACCTGCTTCCCATGTACTTTGCCAAGCACGACAACAAGAGCGTTAGCGGAATGGCCGAAGTTATTCGAAAATTAAACGACCAATTAAGGAAATTAGAGGTAAAAGACGGCGCAACGCTTGTTGTGACCATAGTAACACCAACAGAGATAGGATGCGCCCACGTAGGAGACGCCAGAGCCTTGGTTGTCCGAAAAGATGGAACCATCGCGCAATTGACATCCGACCACAAGGCCACTGACCGCACAGAATTCGATATCGTCAAGGAAAACAGGGCTTATTTGAGCGCTGGTCGATTAATGGGCACATTAGCCGTATCTCGAGCAATTGGAGATTTTGCCATTGACGGAGTCATGAGAGTTCCATCTATGACAGCTTATACGATGAAAAAGAACGATTTTAGATTAGTTTTAGGATGCGACGGAATATTCGACGTAATGACCAACGAAGAAGTGGGAAGAATAGCTGCCGAAGTAAGGGATATGCATTTGGCTGCTGATACCATTAAGAATATCGCATTCGCAAGAGGATCTCAAGATAATTTGTCTGTTGTTGTTGTTGATATAGAACAGGAGGAATAATTTCTTTTATTTTTTATTTATTTATTATTTTAAACCAAAAACTTTCTCTTTCTTTCATTTATCAAAATATTTTTTCATTTTTTTTTCTCAAATATCCTAAATAACCATGATGTGTCAACTTTTTATCATATCTATATGATTATTCGCTTATATTTTTAAAATTCAACGTTTGATATTTCTTCAAGTATTTGATTTGAACAAGATGTTTCTTTGAGTTATGTTTTATTCATTTTTGAGTTGTAATTATCAATGAGATTCACTTGATATTTCAATAGAAAGCTTATTTTATCTTTTGAATTTGATCAAATTCGCATTTTCTTGCAGTGAATGCATATTTCGATTTATCATAGTATGAAGAAGAAGAACATACTACTAGATTCTTCATGTATGATCAAATACATTGAATATCATTCCAAAATTCTGAATTGAAAATTTCAGATCAAAATCTAGAGAGGTTATCGATTTTGTAATTTAATCGTTATCGTCTTTTTCTAAACGTGCATTTTTACATTAAAAGCAATGCAACTCCAAAATTAATTGGTATTTAGACTTTAATTAGGTGCAGACAAACGAAATGCAGTCCAAATATTTTGGTGATATATGAATTACATAAATTTAGGGAAATTGAAATTATATCTTTTTAAATTTTTAGGAAAACAGATTTATAGAATTGTTTAAGTCATCAAAATAATGCAGACTTAGGTCAAATTTTCCAAATTTAATCATTTGCAAGACTTTCAAGCGACTTCAAAATGTCGAAATATAAGTCCAAAAATAAAATTACGATTACAGTCTATCCTCAATTATTATCACGCTAATTATTGAGTGACCCATGCGTTCGTATGTATGTAATACCTTTTAAAAAGGAGATGAGAGAGATAAACTACATTTACAATTTAAATCTGATGTATTTACTTGTTACATTTACAAATGTAAATGTTTCTCGTAATGTTTACATTTTGTAAGTATAACGAATAAAAATGACGCACTTTTTTTACAAAGTCAAATTATTGTTCGATTTTTGCAGCTTGTAAACGATTAATTGTATAAAGCAATTGATATTAGCACGACATAACTGAATAATTCTAATATTGAAATCAAAAGCCCTTAAAATATCATGATATTTTAATTTCATAACAAATCTAGGAGACTATTTGATGAAAACATATCCGATGTGGGTTTTGTTGTATTATATAACTTGTTATTGACTTCTTAGCTTTCCAAATTTTTTTCGATAATGAGAAAACGAATGAAAAATCAACATTTGGTCCATTTAAAATTTGATTTGTTTACATTTTTTTTACTTTTTGAATTTCAATTTATATTTTCCTCAAGAAATACTTTAGATTTTAAGAAACTAAATCATATAATCTACTAAGAAAATATATTAAATCCTATAATACTCAAAGTTTTGTGATAAATCCGATCTTTTTTATTTTACTTTTATTATGTTTTTGCAAACTTAAGGTCCTCACTAGGTAAAACATAATACTCTTTGAAGTTAAGTATTTTCACAAAGAGAGGACCAACAATATCAAAAGATTGAATAAAGATTTGTATTATTTTATTTATTTTTAAGAACATGTTTAAGAACCCTCATTATCTCCACGAATATTGCATATTTTTCTATTCTAAGACCACCAAAATTACGTTTTAATATAGAAAATAACATATTTATGTGATGCTAAAGTCGAAGTCCTTAAAAAATTAGTGTTAAACATCCATTTATTACAAAATTGAAGAAATATGTGTAAAATATAACACATAATTTAGTTATTTGACTCAATTATTAGTTATGCAATATCAGTTGTGTTTATATCTGCGTTATATCACGAGATGCATTGAATTGTCATAATTAGATCACCGTAAATCTTATCAATTTTTGATACACTTCCGGTGAAAAATTTAGCCTTGACAATAGGATGAAATATATTGTAAAAAAATAAATTTTAGATTTTGAAGTTTATCATTTCGAATAATGAAATATAAACAATACAAATTTTCTGTCGTTTCGAGATTCATAAATGATCGGAATCTTCCAGCTCCGACTGAAATAGAACTTTCGGAAGCTAATTTTCAAGACGAATCTTCTTTATTAAGATTTATTTTGGATATCCCTAAGGATTTAAGCTTTTCCATTGACTCATATTCAATGAATCTTTTGATACATTTCATTATCGAGCAATCTACACAAAATTAAACAATATTAAAATTCACAATTCAAAATATCACTTCTTCGAATATCTTTCAAATAGATTTGATACTACTGGAAAATTTATTCGAATATTTATCGCATTATATTAACCAGATTTTTTTCATTAAAATTAATTCATTTTAAAGCTTTAGATAACATACAATACCTTTATTTATCAACATTTTCCGATCAATATGATGAGATATTACGTTTCATAAGCAGCAGTGACAATTCTCTCTATATCATCGATACATTTATTGCTTTGATTAAAAACAATATTCTTGACGTTGAATTCTTCCAAAACGCAGTTTTACTCAAGAAAGAAATTTTTTCTAGTATTATTGAGTACGAAAATCAATATTCAACTTATGCAATTGCAAATTTCTTTACAAAATTATTAAAATATTACCCAGGATATGCAACTGCTCTTCCATGTTCGGATATACTAATATCAAATTATTTCAACTTTTTTAATGACGTGAATTCAATTATAAATAACGAAGATTTTGTTTATCTTCTCAAATTTATAGTTTTATTTTATAAAGCAGTCGATATAACATCTGAGATGGCTTTAGAATTCATAAAAACACTTGAAATTCTGCGAAGTCTTTCTCCTCACTATTCATTTACAGAGTATGTAGTTCAGGGGTATTATTGTGTACTTCCTCTTATACCCATGCAAATTTATCTACCGATTTTTTAAATTCACATGAATTTTTAATTAATTATGCAATTGAGAATTCAAATCTTCACAAATATTTGAAATTATATTCCAGATGTTTCCGCAGATTTGATAGCGATGAAATATTCAAAAATGTTTTTCATATCTTAAACCTTGTAGAAGTTACAACAGAATATTTATCAGAAAATCAGGATCTTTCTGAGAAACAATCTTTATTTGCAACGATATCCTAACGAGGGTTAATTTAATTTAATTTTTATTTTTTATTTCAAGTTTGAGTAAACTTTCAAGATAATCTATATAAGCCTTTTGATGTTCTTCATCTAGATTCTTGTTTAATATGTGATGAATTTGATTTTTTTTTGAAAATTCAAGATAAAATTCTTTTTTATCTTGATCAACAACATGAACAATTCGAGTACAGCGTAACATTTCATCAATATTTTCTGTTTTCTTCGTTTCTAGATATTTTTCAAATATTTCTTGCGGAATCTCATTTTGATATACCCATTTATTTTTTTCCGGATGCTGATCTTTGTACTTAACGAAATATTGCTTGACTATTCGCTCAGAAACAACATATTCGATCTCTTTTCTCTTTCTCATTGAATATTTGTGACACTTTTGAATTCAATCAAATCAAAAATATTTGAAATTGCTAGAATTTTTTTCTTTCTCATGAATATTTGAAATGACTCAAAAGGAAAACTCGTTCGATTCAATTCAATTTTGAATCAGAATTTTTTAAGGACCAATAAATCAAATTATGTTAAGAAAATCTTTTTTTAACTCAGAGTATCAAAAGTACGTTAAACCTTCAATTTTATCTCATGTCGGAAAGCGAACCGACAATAGTGGAAGAGAATCAAACTATATCAGTATCCATCCAAGCTATTGTTGATGAAGAAAAAGGAGATGGAGCTGATATGCTGATTTAATTCAAAATGAATTGAATTCCGTAAAAAATTGAAATATAGAATGGAAATACCTGAAAATCCCCAATTCCAATTCTCAAGGAAAGATATAGCAAATTAAAATTTACAGATCCTACAGAAGCTGCTATATTTATTGCAAAAGATTCATATAATTCTTTTTATCCATTAAATTTTGAGCAAGGAAAAAAGTTTCGTTGTCCTAACTGCCAATTTTGCATGGAGCTTGTAAAGACTCATGAAAATGGTCAACTTTTCTTCATTCCAGTAATTAAACACGAGCATAGAGCAAAGCAATGCAAGCCGAGTAACAATATACCAAAAATTCTTAAGTTGCAAGCAGGAAAAAAAGTCTATGAATTAGCAAATTCTGATAATGTTCCTCAATGCAAAGAAATTTTTGCAAAAGAATTGAATATTCCCAATGCAACTTATACGATGTTCCATAATATAGTAAATAAACTTAAAGGAACCACAAAGGGGATAGAATTCAATCTTACAATTATTTCTCAACAATTTTTTCAATCATAAACAAAATCGAACAAGGATTCTGCGAAATGATTTTAGTTAAAGAAGTTAACAATGAAATTGAATTGCATACATTTAAGAAAGGTGATGAATTACCTGAAAATTCAAAAGACTTTCAAATTTATTCATTTATTGTAATTCCTCCAATAACTCATTTTTACATGCAAACACAAGCTTTTTGCGGAATAATTCAAATTGATGGAACGTTTTTATTTTGTATTAAAAAAGGAAACTTACTCATTATTGGTACACCTGCACCAAATAATAGACTTATCCCTATTGCATTTGCATGGTCTGTTAGTGAAAATACGATAACAATTAAGGATATGCTCACTAAATTGAAATCTTTTATTCCACCAAGCAGATTCAAGAATATTTATTCCGATCAAGGTCCGGCAATTATAGCTGCTGTTAGAGAATCAGGCTTTTCTTGCGATCATAAATTTTGCTTACGTCATTTTGCAACAAAAAGGGAATACATCAATGTCTATTCCGAAATTGTTGAAGTCGCTTACGCAGACCATCCTCAAAAACGAATTGACTTGATTAAAAAGTTAGAAACTCGTTTACAAGAGGAATATCCAAACCGCGAAAATAATCAGGATCTCTTTAAGTACTTAGATAGTATTAACCCATTTGAAGGATTCGCTGACTACACCGCTGG